CTCTCTCCTACTACGGACGTACCGTTACCTTACTACGTACCCTACCCCCTACCCCACCCTACCTCCTCTCTACAGGACGTACGTACTACTACCCTCCCTCCTCTCTCTCTCTCTCTCTCTCTCTCTCTCTCTCTCTCAAAGGAAACACTAGGAAATAGGAACCTTGTTTTTATAGGACCCCCCTCCCAACCTTGTTTAAATAAAGAGGAACATGTTAAGAAGAAAATAACATGTTAATCCAATATAAGATTTTTCGGCTAGCTGAAAGTATTAGTAGCGAAAAATGACGGACTAAGATTCATACAGCCGGCCTTAAATAATTAAAGCTACAGCGATAAATGAAGACAATGATGATGAATCAACTATAAGATTATTGCAAAAGGAAAAACCTTAACAATAAGGTCAACAAAAAATAAAAACAAAATTACAGAGGATTACAAAAGACAACTAAAATATTTTCCAATATTTTCAAATCAAATGGAAATTATGGAACAGAGAGCCACAATTAGCCAGAATAAAAGAATGCCACAACCAACCCCCATAATTGCAATTTTGGACACACAATACTTTGATGGCCAATTTTGCCAAAATCTTGGCAAATTTAATCAAAACTCAGAGAGAGAGAGAGAGAGTTAAGAGTTAGAGAGAGAAGAGGCAGATAATTGTTGGTTAGAAGAAGGGGAAGGAGGTGGAGAGGTCCAATACAGTTTGACTCCAACCAAAATCTTCTCTCTAATATGAGGTCCTTCTTCATGGTCAATCATTTGAGTATCCCACTGTAAAGCATCAGCAATTTCTTTAATTTTGAACAGAAGGTCAACATCATCTCTCAAGATTACAGTCCCTTCTGGTCTAAGTATTCTGTCCATTTCCAACAGTATGTCTTCCATATCGCATCTGTGACAATCGTGCAATCATGTGGCTCAGATTTGTACAAGGAATGCAACGACAACCATTAGGACTTGTCTCTCTCACTACATTTTGGTGATTCTGCATGTTTAAGTCGCTCGAGCCAAATGACTCGAGAGCTCAACCTTCTTTATTTATCTAGGATTCTAAACCTGGAATTTTTAATTATTATTAAAATATCATGTAATGAGTGTGAAACCTAGCATAACTCAAAAACCGGGGCATTTTGATAATTTGGCCCCGCCTTCGGAATGCATTTTGTTAATTTGGCCACACCCCAGAGCTAAAAAGCTTAAGTACTCCTGCTTGTTTCGAATTCCAAACCAAGAACAATATGAATGGGTTTGAATCGATAGTAAGTCAGGGTATTTATGTCATTTAACTCAAGTTACTCAAGTGGTCAACTCAACATGATGCCTTCACTTATTCAAGTTTTTAACCTTCAAACTAAAAAATCGGGGCAAATTTCATAGTTTTTTATAAAACAATTGATGTGCTAAACAAAATGATTAAGTATGCACATTTTGTAACCCTAGACGCATTTCCAGTTTAGATTCAAAAAGTAGTGCAAGTCTAATGATCTATAAAAAGTAAAAATTAATAATGTTGAATCACCCAAAAATTAACTAGTTTATTTCTAAAATTCAAAATCTATATTTTCAATTTCATAATCATCATGGTCGAGATGACCGGCGCATTAAATTTTATGCCTAAAATACATATCTAAGATAGACTTTTGCAAGAGATCGTATTCGAAAAGGTTTTGATTTGATTTAATACACCAAGACGTGTCCTATCTAAAAAATATATTTATTTTATTAGTATACTAGATGATCCAATCACCTAAATGAAATTTTTAATTGATTTTTAACTAGTCTAACAAGGGTTCAAAATCCAAGCAATTTCCAATCGAGATCATTGTTTCAGATGGGATTAGTAAGGACCAAACCGGTTCCGAGATGGTATAGGTCCTAGCCTAGTTTCGAAAAACCCTTTTTATTTCTTTTTTTTTAATCTAAAGTTTTTTTTAGGTTCCTTTAATTCCCCACCACATAAACCCCTATTTTAATTTTTAATTTATTTAACTTACTTTTTATATTTTTCTAAATCACTAATTAAACCAATCCAGACCATTCACAGACAAAATCATGTTGGATCGGGTCTGAGGCGGTCCAAATGGTTATCCTAAAAAAAAAAACTAAAATGGGAGTTTATAGTGTAAGGATTTCATAGTGCCGGTCAGCACTATGAAAATGCGGTTAAAAGGAGAAGGGGTATTATGGTCATAAATTTATAGACTTTAACCGGGGAAGTGCAAAAAACCATTATTGTTGGGGTTTCTTTAGTGTTTCTAATAAGTTATTTGTAAGGTAGGAGGGTGAGGGTTT